AAACAACTGTGTTCACAGGTCAGACATTTTTCTGGGTCATTTAACTCTTATTTTGGGACAGTCTGTGGTAAAATTCATTCCCCTAAAACCAAAGCCCACAACAGCAACAACAAAGTGACTCTGAAGGGCCTCCTCATTTTCATTGCTCTGCGAGAGAAAAATTCTCCTGCGGTGGTCTGCACAGAGATGGTTGGCCACACAATGCTGGCTTCTCCTCCTTGTTTTCAGATGCTAAACAGCATCTTAAGGATGTAAAAATTCACAAATACTTTCCCAATAAGCCGCCACTGCTGCATGGACCTTATGTGATTGGGAATGGGGATGGGGGGCTGGCCCATGGTAATTATGGAATAAGGAGAGGAGACAGATAGTGAGTGGTGAGGAATGGGGAGGGAGACGGAGCCTGAGTGATGGGGGGGTGGGGTGGGAGAACGACAGAGCCTGGGCAATTGAGGAGTGGGGACAGGAGGCAGGGTAATTAGAAGGGGAGGTCGATCAGTTGAGGAAAGGAGATAGGAGGCCGGGCCTGGGTGGTGGGGAATGGGGCCAGGAGGCCGGGCCTGGGTGGTGGGGAATGGGGCCAGGAGGCAGGGAAATTTTTTCTGTTGACTGTAGTGGGCTGTGGATCAAATCCTACTTGCTGATTCCCCACCTGGAACCTTAATCCTCTGTCTGTGTTATCCTAACTCATTGCTGTGGGGATTATTGTGTTGTTCGACAACTGACAGTCCCCTGGCTCCAGAACAGCAGGCATCAGGTGAACTCTTAAGGAGGAGATCCTATTTTCATGCAAATGTCCTCGGTGAGTGAAAGTAGAGAGCGAGCGACAAAATACCCTGTTCAGGAGATACCAGCAGAATTGTTTCTAAATTGGCGGTTTTCAGTATATGCCAGTAGGCACCAGATAAGACATTTATTGCAAGCCAATGAACTAAAGTGAATCACTATTGATACAAATACCCTGTCGTCGTAAACCGAGCCCAGTAGCTGTACATGGAGAGGTATTTTCCTGACTCAGTGAACATGTTGCAATTATTAATCGGCATGAGGGGTCCTGGTGCAGGGGGTGGCTTTGCTGTCAGCAACATCTTACTCTTCATGCACATCCCACCCTTTGGGACTTCATCAAGTAAGTCAGTGGGCAACACCATCAGCATTAATGTAATCACTATTGCCTGCTGTGCTCTGGAAGGCCCACAGTGAGAGTTTCCGGGGGCGGGGACTAATGGATTGATTCCCTGGCAGTTTGTTGCTTCAATGGGAGTTGTGATGGCAAGGGGTAGGGAGGAGATGATATTGTATAATTTGCTCCTTGAGGCGGTTTTAATCCGTCATTTTAAGAATCTACATACTGTTTGCTATTAAAGAGTCTCCATACGGGATGAGATCCTGGCCCCATTGAAGCCAGTGGTAAAAGTCCCATTGACTTCAGTAGCATCAGGATTTCACTCTTGAGTTTCTTTGGGGGCAGGGACCTGTCTCACTATGTGCTTGTACAGTGCATAGCACAATGGGGCCCCGATCCTGATTGGAGGCTTTTGGGCAGTACCAAAATGTAACTGCTACATGATAATATTTGTAAGTAGTTACCACATGTATTTCCTGTTCTAAATACAGGGAAATACTGTGGTGTCTTAGCGACCATGGAGTGGCAAATACTGATTTACTAATGGTGACTATTGTATAGATATTATTGATCCTTAACATTTATATTATGGTAACATACAGAGGCCTCAACCAAATCAGGGTTCCCGTTTTTCTATGCACTGCACATATAGCACATGACGGTCCCTACGTCAGAGTCTACAGTCTAGAAGGTGTCTAATTTTTTTTGTTTTTATTGCATACATTGTCATTTTCTCAATACAATGTATGTAGCACTTTGGGGTGTGTATATATGTACAGTATAATTCCAGTTATCAAAATTCCCTTTATCCGAAAATCCTAGTTATCCAAAGCCACAGTGTCCCTCCCATGTAGCCCGATGTTAGTTACTAGCACTTCTGTTTGTCTGAAAGCCTGTTTATCTGAAGTATTTGGATGTCCCCAGCCCATTCAGATAAATGGGGATGTACTGTGTATAGGGGTAGAGGGGTGGAGTGTGTGTGTGTGTGTGTGTGTGTGTGTGTATGTATACATACATACATGCATATGTGTGTGTGTATGTATTGAGTGTGTGTGTTTATATTATTCATAAAATAGGAATATATTTTTCAAAACTCTAAATGAAATGCGGATTTGAAAGTATTTACTTAACACATTAGCCAGACATCGTCTCTTGCTGTATTGTGCATTGTAATGCTCTTTCCATTTATAAAAAGAAAAAAATGAAGCAACTTGTGTGTAAGTAAATATATTTCTCTTTAACTTAAATTGTATCACTGTCAGTTGATGGGTTTCTTACAAGAATTGAACCAGATGGGTTCTGAATTTTGAAGTGAAGTTGACAGCACAGCTGTGTTGTTTTTAGATCTCAGTTGGTCATGGGAGCCAGTCTTGAGATGGGGAAATGTCTTGTTCTTTATGATTATTATTAAATTATACCATGTATGTTCTGCTAACCAAATAGAGTCCAGTTCTCATGTAAGTGACAGAGAGAGGCAAATGACACTTTGTTCTATTCATGTTCCAGAGGCCAGTGAGTGCGCACCTCGCACAAGAGATAGCTCTCGTTAACACACACCGTGTCAGCCTTTTGCCAAGGCCCGTAGGCACCGGTCCTGTGATTCAGTTACTGATTGCCCATCAGCTGTGGGGGTTAGCGAGAGAGGCAAGAGAATGGCAGGCTGTGATTCACTGTGTGCACCATTAAGGGTCTGTGACTTGCTGCTCTCAGCCAAGAGCAGCACATTAGCTACATGACATACGGAATAATAGTACCAGCAAAGTGGTCAGTGCCTAACTGGGATATATTGCAGCCTGCAGAGTGGCTGTGGGCTGCAGCACAGAACATATGGAGATTATTTTCTGAATTTATGCAGCACATGTTTTCCTGTCAATTAAATTCAGAGAAAATGAGTATTTATAATAGGGTGTTGCTCACAATAGCCATCCCTGTTACGAATTACAATGACTGCCTCTGTTTGCTGAGTGTCTAGTGGACCAGCTTTATACAGTCTGAAGCAACCACATGTGCTCCGTCTCAAGGTCTGGAAGGATGAGCAGAGATCTGTACAGTTATATGCAGGATTCTTTTGTTCTTCTTCTCTGTGTTTTTCTCGCTTCCTCCAGAAACCACGCAGTTCCCTCCTGAAGTGCTGGGGTTACCTAGAGGTCTGAGCATATGCCATGCATCTTCCCAGTCTCTGCATTTGCTCAGTGACTATGTACTGTCCTAGAGAGGAGCTGCTGCCTTTGAAGTGCAAAAGGCAGACAAGCACTTCCTATGAAAATGAATTCTACCCCATACTGTGGATTAGAACAGGATGGGCAGCCAAAACAGTAGGATGGGACTCTTTAGCCAGAATAGTAAGCACCGCAGCACATATGTACCCTTCAATGTCCTTGGGCTAGAAGTCTTTTTCTACGTTACAGCCCAGCCCTTTACTACTTTGGGCTGGATGAGAATTATCTATACCTTTTCCTCAGGTATTTTTAAGCAGTTTAAGGAAAACATAATGGAGAATCATTGTAACTTGTTCACTAAATCTCTCCTTTAAAACAACCAAGAGACAGCATTGCTTGCTGTTTACCAGGTTTAAATCTTTAGTGAAACAGACGCCCTTCTGCACCATATGAGCAAATCAGAGAGTTGTTAAGTAATAAAAACCAGTACCAGAGAGCAAAAGAATCAAGTGTTTGCGTTTGGGCAAATTGCTTTGGAATCAGTAGGACTAGTGCTGCATCCAAGTGTTTTCAGCTGTGCTTGAGGGACATCCTTTTTCATTTGTAGCTGATTATGGTCTAATAGGATTTCAAAGATTTCTGGGTGGGAATACTTCACATCTCATTTCATTTGATTTTTTTCCTGATGTTTCACTTATCATACTGATACCTACCCTTGGAATGAATCTCATTATCTTCCTTTTTAGTTGCCTGAACTGGATTTTTCCTGTTGGTCCCATGCTACCATTTAATTGGCATTTCTGAAATCTTTTGGGGATTTCAGAAAGAGCCAAGCAGCAGTTTGCATGATAGCAAAGCATGGATCACTGAAATAAAGAAATGATGTTACAAATCCTTTTAGTTTGGGTCCTCCCTCTTCTTTCTCCCTGACTTGTACGTATTCTCTGTGGCTTGTGCGATTACGTTTTCATAATGAAAATTAAGGACTTGAAAGGAATCCACGAGAGGAGTAACCAGCACAGCCCAAGATGGACCAGTCTCATCACTGACCTTTGCTGTCCAGTGATGGTGGCTGCCATAGTTATTTTCCTTTAGCAGCTCATAGGATGGGAACACACACATAGCTGTAAATGTGGGTTTGGCAGGAGAATGAAGGCACCAGTATTCAGAGCAGCCAAAGGCTCAGAAATAATGTTCTGCTGTGACTCTTCCAAACTGACATCTTGATGTTGGGATTATAAATGAAATCATTGTTCTGACAAAGGCCAAGACTAATAGAAAGCCTTTATTACTGGCCCATTGGCTAATTCTGCTTGTCTAACCCCTTTGCATGGACATAGTGTTAGCAAACATGCTCACAGAGGATGCTTTGTGTGAGATCTGGCCCGGTGAAGGATTACTAGGGGGCACAAGGATATCTCAATGACAAGTGTTCTTTGACTAAAATTTGCAATCCCGCTCCCCCCTCTCCCCCAGGCCTCAAAAGAGAGTGACTGGGTTTTTAATCTACAGTTTGTATGAGTGATATTTGCTTTGTGTCCTATCACTCCTGTTATTCAACTGTTCTCTCGTTGCAAGCAGGTGAAGTACTGCCTAAAAGAAATTGTTTCTTCTGCTGAGGTTCAGTGCAGTTGACAGCTGTCATATAGAAGCACTACACTTTAATATAGGTTCCAATCTTAAAGAGCTCTAATCTGTTCTCTTTCCTCACACAGGGAATGTCTAGGAGCCAGGGACCCATACTGTGGCTGGGATAACAAACAGAAACGATGCACCACCATTGAGGACAGCTCCAACATGAGCCTATGGACTCAGAATATTACTGAGTGCCCGGTAAGTGGAAATTAAAACAGAAGAGGTAGAAGAGTGTGTGTGTGTGTGTGTGTGTGTGTGTGAGAGAGAGAGCGCATTATAGTCAGCGTATTGCTCAGTACTTACATTTCTATGCTCTAGGATCTCTGAATCCTGCTGTGGGCTTTCTAAACCCCCAGTTAAGTCAGAGCAGCCTCAAAGCTGCTTTAATTTATGCACTACTTCTCTCGGCTCTCTGTGGGAAATGAGAATAGCTGAAGTGCCGTGCTCTCTGGCCCTGCCCAGCCTGTCCCAACTCATCTCTGACACACACCTTATGTGAGGGACTGGGAGGCAAGAGCTGGCATAGAGCTCTTGTGACAACTCTGTGCTGGCCAGAGAAACTCCTTGTGCTGGGCTATATTCTATTGGAGAAGCAGAAAGAGGCTGAACATAAACAGAGAATCAGGCCGCGCGCATGTGTGTGTGTGTGTGTGTGTGTGTGTATAAGGGGGGGGGAGAATACTAGAGTGGGGGGAGCATAAAGAAGGAGATTGTGATGGGGGTGTATGTTAAAGTGGAGAGAATTTTATATGTATGTGTAGGCGCAAGTAGAAGGAAAGGGTGATGGTGTGTGTGTGTGTGTGTGTGTGTGTGTGTGTGTGTGTGTGTGTGTGTGTG